GATTGGCCGTGGCCATCTCCTGTCCTGTGCAAACTGACTGACTGACTGACTGACTTGTTTTCCTCCCTTTCAGCATACCCCCAAGGAGACAACGTTCTGGACACGGGGTTGAAGTGTGAGGATCAAAATACTCAATGCCCGTAAGAAGACAACTTCCGGACACGGGGTTGAAGTGTGAGGATCACAAATACTCAATCACCGTACGCAGTGTTGGAAGCTAAACCCCATCCGCCGACAACAAAACGAACTGGACGCTCGATTGGCAAGAGCCATATTAGTCGTGTGCAACTGAACTGAACTGAACTGGACTGACCTTGAGAAAGTTTTTGAAGGCTACTTGTGCAAATTACACGGGGAGTCTCCCGATGGCTCAGCGTATCTTTCAGTCTTTCCGCCGCCTTCCTGGACACCTTACATCTTTCAATCGAAAAGCAGAAACTCCCGATTCACACGGAAGTGCCTATCGTGCCAAAGTTGTGAGTAATATTTCCTCCAACTGCTATTTTCCCACAGTGTTCCGATTATGGTTTTCCAGCCAAACCTGTATCGATCGCATACGATCCTGTACTGGATTTCTTAGCTTTACTCACCCGGGATGGAAATATTATCATGTATCCTTTCGTTTTGTTGGTAGTTTGATTCTCTTCGCGTCATCACTCACCAGTGCTTTCTTTTGCAATGGAAAGTTATTCAATCAGTGTCCTATTACGTTCGTACGTCACGGTAACATCCCACATTTAATTCCCCAGTTCACTGTAATAAGCCAATATTTTGGTACGATGGCGAAATTCTTTGTAGGCTTTATACAAGTCTCAAGCCCTGCTTCGATGATCATTAACTTAAGTTTCTCTGATGTTCTGAACAGTGAGCATTATTACAATTCCGCAAATTCTCGTAGCTCGTATCTGGTAAATCATTTGTTATATACCAACGGTTCATTTCTATTGGTTGGCAACTCACGCTTTGAGAACAGTTGAACTGTATGTGACTCAAAATATAAATTTGATAGAAAATAATAATAATAATTTTGGACGTGGAAGCAGAATTTAGACTCTTGAATCATACCAGGCAACAGCACATGCGGCTGTCGCCACTTTCAGTCCAGGTTCTTGCAACATAAGTGCTTTGTTTTCCCATCGATGATTCGTGACTATAAAATTATTTAACATCCATTATTTGGGCGCCCTAGCGAATACGTAATACTTCCGGCTAATGAAATACTTCCATTGGTGAGATTGCTCTCGATTTACAACATCCAATGCTGAAAGCGATTGTTTGCGGAAAACATGGATTACCTGCAGTCTAGGTATGAACCTACCTACTAACTATCTATTCAGTTGGTGAGGTGAAGCAAATTAATGCATTGATTGGCTTCTGCCAATGTGCGACCCCAGTTAGAAAATGAATAAACCTGGGAAAGAAAACGAAAACTGAAAAAGGAAAAGGGGAGAAGCATTTTGCCTAGTCCCCACTTCCATCGATTTGCATACATATATTCTACGTTGTCCAAGTTGCTGGCGGACTCATTAGTTACTGTGTTCATATTTCAGATTCATCCAATTTCAGATAATATCACTTACTATCGCATTCATGCTTGTTATCGTCCGCAAATTTATGCTCAACTACAGGTTATCGGAATGCTGAGTTGGATCGTGATGTTATCTCATCGTTGTACAGCGAAGTACGGGGAATTCCATTGATCGCTGCCAAACTCGCAATGCATATGCATTGGAGTTTGGTAAACGGGTACTGCTGGGGTATCCAGTCACTAATCAGGAGAACGATTAGGGTTCTCAACCAAAGCCTTTGGTTCTAACAAGAACCTAACCGCAAGGCAGCGGGTGAAGCGAAGTGGAGGCCCATTTACTTGGATCAATTACTCCACCAATTTTTTACTGACTAAAACGTCAACTTAAGTCGACCCCCCCCAGAAGACTGAACTTCGCCCGACCTATACCCTTCGACTTCTCAAGCATGATTAGATTTTCGGCCTGAAGAAAGCCGTCCTGTGTAGCTCGTTGAGTCAGAGGTGCCATCATACCACGTCAAGGTGCAGTCTCGTCGTGATGAGATGTCATCTGTCACCCTCATTGAGCACCCAACTGAGGGTGTCAAAACACCTTTTGCTCACCACCGTTCAAGACGCTTGCTCGGAATATTCTAGTAATAAACAGCATCAAGTCGTCAAAGGTCCTCTATATTTCAAGGACTCTTAGTTGGAAAATCAGTTAGAACGCACTTACAGAAGGTTCTAGAAGGAAAGGATTTGAAGCACTAGGCCCTCGGTTTGTCTTCGAAAGCAACAAAGATACTCAGGATAGATTAAATCAACGCAAAAAACCCCTGACTAGTGTCTTGATTCTAACAAGGGATACAAACCAAAGACATTGAAGGGCCTGCTCATCATCATCATCGTACAGCGAAATACAGTGAAACGAACTTCACTGACCGATGCCAAACTCACCATGCATACAAGGTTAGTGGTAAAATTTAAGTTGGACGGGCTGGATCTATTTTTAGGGAGGGAGAAGAAGATGAGCTACTATGGTCAACACACAGAGTACGCAATCGAACTCTGCATACATACCGTTTCAAGCCTTCTGACCTGATAAGAAACGATAACAAGAACGCCACTGCTGCCGGTTCGCTGCCATATCCTTCAATGTCTCCAACCAACCAGTTGTGGAGTCTTTCAGACCCCAACCTGGAAGGCGAGAGACACCTACTCTACCTAATGGCTTTGTGCATTTCTTCATGCCTCGTCTCCATGTCATCTGTTGACCTCCACGTGGTTTCCTCCAGCCCGGATTAACTACAACGAATAAAGCGCGGTGCCGCAGNGCCGCAGGCGATAACTGAGCATACGCAATACGTACCCTAGCCAGCGAAACCTAGTAATCTGAATTCGGTATGCTAGCAGGTTTATACCTGACAGACTCCTAAACACACGACGGCTTACCTCCACGTTACTAACCCGTTCACTCCATCCAACATGGGCTAAACTGCGTAAACGCCGATAATCGAAAACTTCTAGTCGACGGATATCTTCTACTCGCAAATTCAGGGTCTCACGGAAGTTTTACGGTGTATGCGATCAGTTCAATCATTTCAGCCTACATGCCTGCTAATTCGGTGTATGTTGGTGCAAGCATATACGCCCAGAAACATAGGATTAGGCGATATATGTACAGATTAGCATTTTCTCTCCAAATCAGGCCCGCTCCGCAAGCACTTCGGACATTTGTACGTTTTATAAATTCGGCAATAATCAGGTGAGATTTGTTTCGCCATATCTTGGTTAATAATGCACTTGATAAGTGAGATCCTAAACACTTATGAAAATAGTCTACTTTAGATAGTCAAATGACGAATAGTGAGAGTAGTATTTTTTTAGTCTCGGATGTTGGATAAAAATAACTCAATAACAACTCTGAAATTTTGGCTAGTAGACATATTGTAGGGGAGCTTCAGATTATTGACTTTAATAAACAACCGTATTTGGACGTTAACTTTTAAACATCCAATCGCATGGACATGAGATTGCAGTTACTCGTACGGGATCGGCAAATTTAGCACAAGTGCGTGTTGTAAATTCAAAACTAAAGGTCTTTTCAATCTTTTCAATTGTAAATTTCTCAGTTCGCTTAATTCTTAATGGTATATCAGATATGGGAAACCAGGAGTTGTTTTCACCGCGACGCACGATGATAATGCCGAGTTTATTCAAGTACTGTTTCTCAACGGGACTGTAAGTACTCTAATTTCTCTAAACTGCGTTTTCTCAGAGAAAGTTGATCACTTTAACAGAATCTGATGACATATATTTGTGGGAGCTGGCAACCACCGCACAGTCGTCCGTCCGCTTTGTTCAAATCGGTTGCCTCAAACGAGTGACACAAAAACTGCGTTCGAATTTCGTTAACGGCGTCACCGATGTGGAAAACGCAGACCAAGCCGATGGTACAAATCATGTTACCGCTATTTGTGCCGCAATGGACGGTACCGGATTCTTGTTGGGAACCGAAAACGGCTGGATGGCTTCTGTACGCCTCAACACTCCCTCCAAGATAGTTCCCCAAAATTTCGAATACCTTTCACTTCCCACAGCTGACGAAGCTATTACGCCATCACGTATCTTGAATGGGTGAGTCGAGTTCACTATATGCAATCACTTGTCTTTCTTCTCAGTTAGTCTCTGTGACTGTGTACCCTACTCAACGCATAGAGTACACTATAATCTTGAAAATTTTCCCGATAAATATGTCCACGTTTGCTGAGAAGCATGAATTGTCTTCAATGAATCAAGCTCAATGCACAATTTTCCTTTCGATACTACCTCCACCTTCCAGTATAAAAATATAGCTTCGGATATATATTGGATTTCGCTGTGTTCAGAATAAATGAAGCATGCACTGAAAAGCTAGGAACTTCTGTACAGCTGTTGGGAACTAATCAACTTTCTTCATCAGGGCGGATCCATTTATCCAGCTGAGAATCAACCTCGGAACCTCAAGTATACCACCCTTTTAACTACCGGGTAGAGATCGTACTAAACGATAAAGCTGAAGCCTCTGTGATAGATTGGATACTCGTCAATAGACGTTTGTGCGCAGCGAGGCTACAGGGTTCATTTAGTGTTCAAAAGGGTAGCAACAACAAAAGGTGTTTGTTCATCATTTCCGCCTATGCACCCACCAACTGCAGTCCCGCTTCAAAAAAAGACGAATTTAACGACAAACTCGCCGAACTGATTCGGTTGAGCCGCAGCTCTGACATAGTGTTGGCATGTGATTTCAACTGAGTTTGGAAAACTGAGCGCAGCTGAAGCCTGTCTGTCGGTGCTCGACTTCTTCATTTCTGTGCGTATCACCGGCTGTTCTTGTTTAGCACCAACTTTGGACACAGCTCTCGTCGAACGGCTACATGGTGTTCTAGTTCGATCGGAAAATTGACCACATAGCTGTAAGCTACCCTTGGCGTGATTCAGTACAAAATTGCAGATCCTATTGGAACACCTGCTTTGAGTCGGACCATGCACTAGTCTTCTTACGCTTTACTATTCGACTCATCAGTCATCGGCAGAAATCGCCTCCTCAGTTAGCTCATCATCGTCTGCGCGATCCATCTGAATGCACACGTTATGAGGAGAAGCTGGGACAGGAGCTAGGAGAACCGCGACATGGTGGAGAAAACCAATAGTGGAATCAGATTACACTTGCAATGCGCTCAGCAGCAAACTTTGCTTGTGGGACTGAGCCCGAAGTCCGTCAAAGGCATTGGATCCCTCAGGAGTCAGTAATCCTAATGGATCAAAAGCGAAAAATCCCAATCTGCCAGGATCAACATAAAGACCGGTGTCACCTGCAACGTCAACTCTGAAATAGCCTTCAGAATGATCGCTTAAATTGGTGGGCCGAAATAGCTAGTGAAATGGAGGTGGCTTCTGCATTAGTGAATAGTGAAAGACTGTTTCACCTGATACGCAGCACCGGAGGTCGTGGCAAACCGGTCAGTGAGACCATTTGCGAAAAAATTGGACTGAGTATCCACAATAGAAAACAACGACTTGATCGCTGGGCAGAGTATTTTAGTGAACAGTTCAATTGGCCCAGTGTTCATGTGGTCATTCCAGCAATGGCGGCGGAAACCCCATGGGTGGTAACATGCGAGCCCCCATCAGATTCGGAAGTACGGAACTGCATTCAACCATTGAAGAACGAGAAGGTTGTGGGACCTGATGGGCTTCTCCCTATTCTTTTCAAGGTGGGCGGTGATTCTCTTATCGACTCAATTACCAGCTTACTTCGCAG